GTCGCGTGGGCCCAGGCCGACTACGCGGAGTGGGGCAACATCGTGTTCCTGGGCCAGGACGGCGTCAGCACCACGGCGCACAGCATCAAGCAATGGCTTCAGAAGTTGGACGCCGAGCAACGGAATGGGGCCTGTTTCGACCTCCTCATGGCCGGCATTCAAGCATTGTGTACACCGTCCGATAACGTCGAAGTTCTGAAGAAGGTGCTCTCCCACGTGCGGGGCCACGTGGACAAGCTGGACCACCCGTGTCAGTCCCACGTGCAGTTCTTCATCCAGGTTGTCAACATCGACGAGGTCGCTCACGACGAGGTCGAGGCCGTGTACTTTCGCGCCCTGGCGATCGCGAACGGGCAGGAGGACAATTGCTTTCACAAATTGCTGCACCTCCTGAACACCGGCATCGAGGTTGTGCGACGCGCTGCGGCGGCGCACATCAGCGTCAAGCACGACGCGACCTACGGGTCGGACCTGGAACAGTTGGCGCAATTGGAAGGCCAGCTGGCCCCACCGGCGATGAAAATCGACCATGCTGATCTCGGTAGCGATGATTGCCCCCAGTATTCGCCGGAGGTGACCGCGCGCCTGCTGCAGTGCTACAACCTCTTGCAGCCGATGAAGAGCAAGGCGTCCAAACAGTATCTCGCCAAGCACGATGCGGAGATCAAGAATCTGGACAACCTCCTGTACACGGCCTACGAGAACATCTTCGCTGCCATCGAGTACAAGTGGACCGGCCTGGTTCGGACGGCGGTCAGGGCGCTCGCCAAGGCGCGCCTCCTCCTCCATGACTAAGTTGACGAACCAACAACACACACCCATACCCATAGGCCCATAGGGGGATCGGAGAGAGCGATGGGTGCGTGATGTCGGATGGGGATCCCCGCTCAAACGGGAGCGTTCCCCAGGGTCCGACAACCCGCACCCATGCCCATAGCCGGTCCTCCTCCCAACGACCTCCCTATGGGTATGGGTGTGTGTTGTTCGTTCGTCATAAGTCCTCCACTCCCTCACCACTCACCGCCAGGTATCGCAGAAGGGGGGGCCCGCCGACGCCATTTCAGATGAAGATGCGGCCTTGGTTTCTTCGGCTTGGGACAATTTGGACAAGCGGGTGCTCCCCCAGCCCAACTCCATTGAGCTGTCCATCGTGCTTGACGACGCCGGGAAAGCGACGCTCACGGACTGGATCCTGGAACGGCGTGAATTTGCGTCCACCGTGCAGATTGGGCTGGGCCACATGCTGTCGAAGGACATCGATTTCACGGAACCAGGACTGCTGCAATTAGCCTCGCACATTTGCTCGCCCTCGGAGGTGGCGGATCCGGAGGTGGCAGGGCCCGTTCTCTCTACGCTGGTCGATAACGTCTGCTTTGTCAGGTCGGCCCTTGCGCTTATTCGGAAAAGGTACCTCCATCAGGCCGACGCGCTGATCCGCAACGATACGGCTGGGTTGCTCGGTGAATGGTCCCAACGGGTCGCCGTCTACATGCACGCGGTCGTTGTCGATAAGGCTGACGCAGAGACGAAAGGCAAGCTGTTCGAGCTGATGATGGCCCGCCTCAACGAGCTGCGCGACGATGTCGGCCGCGATGCGTTCTACAAGATGACCAACGAGACGGTGGAAGATTACATCGAGAAGACGGATGCGTTGAACGAGGCGATGGTCCACCTGGTGCGCTGCGACTCTTGCAACGACATGTTCGTGGGGGACGGCGTCGAAGTGACTTATTATTCGAATAAGGCCCGCGGGAGGGCAGGGGGAGGAGGGCGGAGGAGGAGGGGGCAGGAAGAGGGATGGGGGAGGATGAGAGGAGGAGGAGGAGGGGAGGAGGAGGAGGAGGAGGCGGAGGAGGAAGGAGGATGAAAGAGGGGGGGAGGGGGGGACGGGGGGGGCCATCCGCAGCAGGTGGGACGTCCCGCAGCAGGTGGTGCGCGCGACGGCAACCAGCCTGAGCGTCGGCGCGATTCTGCTGGGCAACCTGCTCGACCTCCTGTGGACGATCGACCCGGCGCCGCTGGGGTTCGCAGAAGCTGCGATGGCGCCAATCGACGCCGCGGCGGCGAAGGCGCCGACGGGCCGCAGCATGGACGAGCTGAAGCCGCTGATTGCCACCATCGGCAAGAATCTTGAGATGCTGAAGCTGGCCAAGGACAATTTGGGGTTGCTGGTCGAGCGGAGCGACGCCCGCGTGGTCCCAGCGCCCTGGGTGCCAGCCCTGGCCGAGCTGAAGGAGCACGTGGAGCGGCGGCTGGAGCAGAGGTGGCGCACCCACGAGCTGTTCGTGCTGGGCATCCTCGGCGACGCCTCGGCGAGTTTCCACGGGTCGCTCGCGAAGATGGCCGCCGACGCAGCGTCGCCGGGAACATCGATGCCCCTCGACATCGAGGCCGCCCTCCCGCATCCCTGCAAGAATCTCCCTCCTGCTTCCTTTCATCCCTCCCTCCCTCCTCCCTCCCCCCTTCCCTCCCTCCTGCCCTCCCTCCTTCCCCCCCCCCACTTTTCTTCCCTTACCTCCCTCCCTCCCTCCCCCCTCCCTCCCCGCCCCTCCCTCCCTACCCCCTCCCAGCCCCCTCCTAGAGGCCACGCTCGACCTCCTGGACGCGGCCAACGAGACTCTCGACGAGGCGACGGTGGCGAAGCTCGCCGCGGCCATGGACGGCACGGAGGCCGCCCGGACCGTCTACCAGGACTGGCGCTGGTGGTCGGGTGTCCTGGCGGACGCGGAGAAGGGGCTCCGCCGTTGGGCCCCCCCTCGCCGCCGCCGTCGGCGGCGGCGGTCGGCGGTCGGCGGTCGGCGGTCGGCGGTCGACGACGCCGTCGCCTTCGATGGCGGTCGGCGGTCGGTGTTGAGAGGGGGGCTTAGGCCGCGCCCCCACGGGCGCGACGGTAATCGCGCCTGGCGCGTCGCTGTCTGGGCCGGAGGGCTGCCCTTCTCCAAGGCTCGGGAGCTTTGAGACGGGGGTCAATGCAGACGGGGGTCAGCCAGAGCGCCAGATGTTGCAGGATCCTGCAGGGCCAGTCTCCCATTGACCCGGGTTTGGGTGCAGGATCCTGCAGGATCTTGCAGGATCCTTCGCATTGACCCGGGTTTGGGTGCAGGGTCTTGCAGGATCTTGCAGGATTCTGCAAGCCCTGCCTGACCCGGGTCTGGGTTGACCCGGGTCAGGAGATCCCCGAAAGGCGGCCTCGCGAGGGCGCGAAGATAACAGCGCGTCGCGCATCGCCAGGGCGCGATGCGCGACGAAGTCAGGTGACCTAGGAGGGGGGTGGCCCCCAGCCCAGGCTCACAGAGCAGCTCGGCGGCGACTGGGTGAAGACCCACCTGCACGGCGACGTGGTGCTGCTCCTCCTCCCCCTCCTCCTCCTCCTCCCCCTTCCTCCTCCTCTCCTTCCTCCTCCTCCTCCGCCTCCTCCTCCCTCCCCTCTCCTCCTCCTGCCCCCTTCCTCTTCCTCCTCCTCCTCCTCCTCCTCCTCCTCCTCCTCCTCCCCCTCCTCCTCCTCATGTTCCTCCTCCTCCTCCTCCTCCTCCTCCTCCTCCTGCTCCTCCTCCTCCACCCCCCTCCTCCTCCTCCCCCCAGGCTTTCCAGCGCGCGGCGCGGATGGCGGCGGACCTGTGCTTGGTCAACGGCATCAGCACGGAGCCGCCGGAGGGGGAGACCAGCCTCAGCTACCTGCGGAAGGCGGGAGGGGCGAGGAGGAGAAACGAGGAGGGAGGGAGGGAGGAGGGGATGAAATGGGGGGGGGGGAGGGGAGGGAGGGAGGAGGGGAGGAGGGAGGCGGGGGGGGGGGGAGGAGCCGGCGGAAAGGGGGAAGCGGGGGGATGTGGGAGGGGGAAGGAGGGGGGAATCAGAGGCCACCAACATATGCACACGCACGCGGTTAGCTCCCGCTGGAGTGCGTTTGAAAGCGGAGGTTCGTACACGCAAGACCGCGGAGGGCGTGCACGTACATACGTCGTTGTTCGCTCAGGGGATGAGGAGGAGGGGGCGGGGGGCCCTCTCGTGCGAGGTGCTGGTGGGGCTCGAGTCGCTGGGCCAGTTGTGCACCCCGCACGCCTCGGTCCTCGCCGCCACGAAGGTGGCCATGGCCCGCGCCGCGGAGGACCCGCGAGGAGGAGGGGGAGGAGGATGAAAAGGAGGAGGAGGAGGAGGAGGAGGAGGAGAAGGAGCAGGAGCAGGAGGAGGAGGAGGAAGGAGGACGGAGGAGGAGGAGGAGGAGGAGGAGGGGAGGAGGAGGAGGAGGAGGAGAAGCAGGGAGGAGGTAAGAGGAGGGAGGACGAAGGAGGGGGAGGGAGGGCGGAGGGGGGAAGGACGGAGGAGTGGGGAGGACGGAAGGAGGGGGGAAAGGCGGAGGAGGAGGAGGGCCCCACGCCATGAGGAGCCGCGGCCGCGGCGGCCGCTGCAGCCGGGCCCGCGGGCGCGCCCGCGGCTGCCGGCGGCGAGGCGGCTGGGGCGGAGGAGGTGCAGCCGCGCAAGCGGCAGCGCAGGGGCGGCTCGCGCCGCGGGGGCGACGGCGCGCGAGGTACGAAGAGGGCCAGGGCGACGTCGACGTCATTGACGTCGTCGTCGTCGTCGTCGTCGTCGTCGTCGTCGTCGCCGACGTCGCCGACGTCGCCGACGTCGCCGATCCTCGCCGGCGCTTTCCAGGCCGAGAGGCGGAGAAGGAAGGCGTTTTGGTAGGGGTCACCACTCGGCGAGCGGTGACCCCTACCACAATTGGCCCCGTGCAGAATCACGGGGAGAAGGAGGAGGAGGAGGAGGATGAGGAGGAGGAGGAGGACGAGGAATCTGGCGGCGTCGACGTCGTCGTCGTCGCCCCTCGGCCGTCGTCCTTCGTCTGGCGCCCGTCGCCCCTCGTCGTCGTCGTCGTCGCTGTCGCCGATCGTCGACGTCTCAACTGGCGCTCTTCTGGGACGGGCAGCTATTTGCCCCCGCCCTCCCGCGTCGCTGCAGGCGGCGCCGCCGCCAGGCGCTTTCCTCGACTTCGCTCGCAGCGATTCCAATCGCAAAGAATTCGTCTGCCCCGATCTGGGCGAGGCGACGCACGTGCACACGACACAGGGGAGCGGTGTCGGAGTGCGGTGGCGCTGGGTGCGCAGAAACGCGCCTCGTCCTCCTCCCGCCCTGCCTCTCTCTCGACGGCTGCGGCGGCGACGGCGAAGGCGGGGGGCTCGTCCGAGGGCTCGTCCGAGGATTCGAGTGCCTTCTGCCCCTCCTCCTCCCCCTCCTCCTCCTCCTCCTCCTCCTCCTCCTCCCCCTCCTCCCCCCTCCCCCTCCCCGGAGTAGGAGGAGGATGGATGGGGGCGGAGGTGGAAGTGGAGGAGGAGGATGAGGAGGAGGAGGAGGAGGAGGAGGAGGAGGAGGATCGTCGTGATTGAACCTCCTCGCCGACTCGCCAACGCGGGCTGCGCATTGACGTTCGTAGGCTCCTGGGAGACCCAGCGGAGGTCTTAAGGGGATCTGTCTCGGAGCGGCCCCGGCACGAGGCGCGGCCGCGGGGGCGTTGTCAGATGGCCACGGGGGTGTTGTCAGGGGGCCGCGGGGGCGTTGTCGGATGGCCGCTGGGGCGTTGCCAGAGGGGGCGCGGGGGCCTTGTGAGGGGGCCGCGGGGGCGTTGTCAGGGGGCCGTGGGGGGCTCTGTCAGGCGGCCGCGGGGGCGTTGTCAGGGGGCCGCGGGGGCGTTGTCAGGGGGGCGCGGGGGCCTTGGCAGGGGGCCGCGGGGGCGTTGTCAGGGGGCCGCGGGGGGCTTTGTCAGGCGGCCGCGGGGGCGTTGTCAGGGGGGGGCGGGGGCGAATTAAGAAAGGATGTTACGCGTCACCCCCAGCTCATCCCTCATCCCTCATCCTCCTCCTCATCCTCCTCCTTTTTCACCCCCTCCTCCTCCTCCTCCTTTTTCTCCTCCTCCTCCTCCTTTTTCTCCTCCTTTTTCTCCTCCTCCTTCTCCTCCTCCTCCTCCTCCTCCCCCTCCTCCTCCTCCTCCCCCCGCGGCCCCCGCTCGAGGCGAGCACGAAAAGCAAGTGCGGCTTCAACACAGGGAAGCGGCTGGCTCAGCTCGCCCCCCACCGCGCCTGGCCGGCCGAGAGGCCGTGAGGCCTAGGAGCCGAAAGGCCGAGGCCGAGGCCGACCACAGATGAGCAAGGGTGAGGGGGAGAGGAGGGAGAGGGCAAGTTAGGTGCGCTCGCGCCATATCTGACATCCTACTCCTCCCGTCCATCCTTTCCCAGTGCGCTGATCTTGTCTCTATCCGCGGACGCGTGTCATAGCCGACCTGGAGCCCCAGGAAACGATCCGTGCATGTGTTTTTCGTCTAGGCCTCGACATTTTGAGCAGTTACAATGTCTTTCGGTACACCATTCGACCCGACATCGTCAAACAAATCAGTCTGTAATGTCGAGGGCGCTGAGATTGGTTCATTATTCGAGCTATATTTGAAACACCAGCTCTGCACATTTTGCTATGCGCAATCAGAAAAAAAAGGGAGCTGCGTAAGGAGGAGGAGGACGAGGAGGAGGAGGAGGAGGAGGAGGACGAGGAGGAGGAGGAGGAGGAGGAGGAAGAGGTGGCGGGTAAGCCGGGAGGATGAGCTGGAGGAGGGTGAGGAAGGAGGAGGACCAGGTCAAACCCGTAGCAGCAGGAGCTCGAGCGTAAGGAGCGGGAGGAGCAGGAGGGCCAGGGGAAGGCGAAGGAGGGGCAACGAGGGCGGTGACAGCGATGAACAAATGACTCGCATTCAAAGAAGTGGTCCGCGGTGGCGGCTGGTCATTACTATCACGCCGTAGTTTTTTGGCTCCAGGAGTTTAGAGGAGCTAGCTTTGAGTCACGGTATCCGCACGCAACTGCGGATCACTCCTGAGAGCGTTGGAAAACACTATTTGCCTTGACCCCCTTGCACACTGGTTCGGACTCGCATTCAGAAAAGTGGCCCGCGCTGGGGGGAGAGCGACATTCTGAGCGACGGGAGCACAGCGCCGTTTCGAAAATGAGTCCCACGCTGCAGCGGGAACACCATTCTGAAACACCAGAAACAATCGGAGTGTAAAGATTCAAAGGAACACAAGGTTTGAATTCATGCATATAAAAGCAATGCGCGGACAGGGCCGGATATCTCCCGCACAGAGCCAGGGGATAGAGGAGAGTAGTATTCGTAATGTGCTGTAGAGGAGTGAGGGAAGGAGGGAGGGAGGGGGGAGGAGGGATGAGGGAGGGAAGGGTGACGAGGGAGGAGGGAGGAGGGAGGAGGAGGAGGAGGGATGAGGGAGGATGAGGGAGGATGAGGGAGGAGGAGGAGGAGGAGGAGGAGGAGAAGGACGGGTTGAGAGAGGATGAGGGAGGAGGAGAAAGGAGGAGGAGGAGGACCACATTCGGCTCAAGGCCATGTCAGGATGAATCATTTTGGATGCTGGACATCGGTCGAGGTTCTCGATAAGCCGCTATTTCCCTCGATGCATCGATCAAGAAGTGCGGCTGGACAAAACAATGGACCGCAGCATTGCGGTTGCTCCGCGAAGGAATTCGATTAGGTGTGCAACTCGTCCAAGGCCACTACGTGGCGACTGTCAGTGCATGCAGAAAAGGCGGGCAATGGCAACACGCGCTGTTAGTGCTCAGTGAGATGTGCGAGGCGAAGCTGGAGTTCAACATCATCTCTTCTGCAATGCGGCGCCTTCGGCGTGCCAGAAGGGCCTGTGTCTTGATCGCGGGTTATTGCACTTCTGCAGGACCACGGTTCAAAACAGCTAACGTGGCGAAGGACCCATGAGTATGTGCCGCGTTGTGGCAACGCTTTCGGTGGAGCTCCCTATGGGATCACGAAGCAAGTGAGGGGTGCGTCGAAATGGGTGGGGAACCGCATGCGAACATTGCCACCAGGGCCTTCGATGGAGCCCCCCCCATCGTTTTCTGATTTATTGTTTTGCCGATCGGCGCGGGCCCTCGCACCCCCCCTACCCCCCACTCCCATGGAGTAGACCTTGGCTGTGTATGGCGCCTGTTTCCAGCACTGTTGCAAGCTGTCGCATCAGGCAAAGGTGCGGAGCCAGACCCCCCCCCCTCGGACTAACGTCGACACGCCGAGCCAGAAAACTCTCACATGGCTCAGTCATGTTGTTCGCACTCCGCCCTGCGGATGCTGGCGCGGCGCTCCGCTGGGACCGCGCCGCCCTCTCCTCTCGTCGGCCCGCGCGGGCCGCCCACCTTCCGGGAGGCCGGTTTTCGGTGCCCCAGGCTGCCTGCGCACACCTCCCCCGCGTTCCCCCTCCGCGGCCGCTCTCTCCTCCTCCTCCTCCTCCTCGTCCTCCTCCTCCTCCTCCTCCTCCTCCTCCTCTGCAATTACGCAGTATGAATGCTACTCTCCTCTCTCCCCAGGGGACGTCCGGGAAACATTCGGCCATCCTCCGTGTATTGTTTTTTACACAGGACTCCCGGGAAACGGGTTTTCGCTTGTTTTGTTTCAAAATGTTGCTCTCGCTGAAGCGCTGGCTTCATTTTCGGGCTACCACACGTTCCGAATCGTGCTCCCGCTGCAGCGCTGGCCTCATTTCCGCGCTTCGCTCGTTCCGAATCGTGCTCCCGCTGCAGCGCTGGCGTCATCATTTCCAGCGCCGTACCACGGTAATTATGGTTTTTGGTCCTTCCAAATGGGCCCCAACATCTAGAAAACGACCCCCTGAAAAAACCATCGGAAGTGATTCCACATTCGCTGCCGATTTGGTGATTTGTTTGGTCGCAGAACCCCCCACTTTGGGGCGTCGCCGCGCCATGCTATGTCAGGCTACGCGTTGATCTTCAACACCATGCTATGCCATGTAATGCTATGCCCTGCGACGACATCCGACGGTGCGAATAGAGAGGAGATCTACGCCGTAGTAAGAGATGGGAGGGAGGGGTAGGGCGTCAGAAATGACGCGAGTGCACCCAGCTTGTCCTCCGCCTCCCCCTCCTCCTCCTCATCCTTTTCCACTTGTCTACTGTGCCCCTGCCTGGCGCGGTCCGCCGGCTGTTCGACCGCGTTGGCGTTCGCCTTCGCCGCCGACCGCAAGTTTGCGCGCAGCAATGTCACGGCGCAGCAGCCAGCAGCATGGCCCAGGCGTCACGATGGTTCAGGCACTCCGCGCTGTAAAAGCTGCATTTTCCGTGTCCGAACGGTTGCGATCAGGTCGTTGTCGTCGTTTGTTTTCGTTGCCCTCCTCCTCACCCACCTGTTCCTGGAGGGTCTGCGGGGCCCAGAACCCAATGATGTGGAAGGGGGCCCAAAACCTCGAGCCCGTTCCACCGTCGGCACCTCTTCGAGACTTTTCCCGGAACGCCATCACTGCCCCGAGCAGCTTGCAGGCGAAATCGCGATTCAAAACCCACGGAAAATATTCAGAGGTAAGTGTGCCAAGTGAGATATCCAGTTGTGTTGCCGCGCAAATCCGCCACGTCGCGCTCTGGCGGGCGCCTGGGGGACGAGGGGGGCTGGGGGGAAGGCGTCCAGAGGGGTGACGTTCCACGGAACATTTTGTCTACACCTTTGACTTTGGCATCATATTCTCGCTGGAAGGCGAGCAGCAGAAAGGGTCCAAACAATGGACGCGTGTTGGGCTCGTTTGGGGCCGAACGTCGTGCCGTTCAAAAAGCCGACGTAAGCGAACAAACTCGAGGGCCCGACACATACATGCATACATGCATGCGTGCATGTATGCATACATGCATACATACACGATCCCGGGCTCTGGGCCCACGGGCCCCCCCCTCCAAATGTGGATGGGTCCCATGGTCCCTCGGGCCCCCCACCCTGACGGGATGGGCGGGGGGGACGGCGACGACGACGACGGCGGCGACGACGACGATGGCGGCGACGACGACGACGACGACGACGACGACGACGGCGACGACGACGACGACGGCGACGACGTCGACGACGACAGCGACGACGACGACGCCGACGACGACGGCGACGACGACGACGGCGACGACGACGACGACGACGGCGACGACGACGACGACGACGGCGACGACGAGGACGACGGCGGCAGCGGCGGCGGCGACGCCGCCGCCGCCGACCTCCGGAGCCCTCCGACGACGACGACGGCGGTGGTGGCGACTACAACGACTTCTGGAGCTCTCCTGGAGCACCAGGGTGCCACGCCACGCACGCCACACCCACAGCACCACACTACATCCACAGGGGGGCGGGGGGGGAGGCATCGCGCGCGGGGGGGGGGGCCGATGGCATCAGCATGAGGTGGGGGTGGCCCAGACCCTGGACCATATACATACATACATACATACAGACAGAAAGACAGACAGACATACATACATGTAAACACATGTATACAGACATACGTGCATGCATGCATACATACATACACACATACACACACTCTCTCACACACACCCACACACACAGAGACGGACAGGCACACAACACACAAAGACACACACGCACACACACGCACACACACACACACGCATGCGCGCATGCACGCACACACGCACACACACATACACAACACACACGACACACACACACACACACCGCACGCGCCCGCACACTCACACGTACACGCACGCGCGCACACACATACGCACACGCATTCGCACACGCACGCGCAAATACACACACCAACCGCCGCAAGCGAGTTGGCGGATCACAATAGCCCTCACAATACGGCTGATATGAGTGCGGCCCATCTCGGCTTCTGAGCGTACGAAGGTAACTATCATAGCGTTTGTGTTTGACGCCCTGTGTTCGGGCTCTCGGGCTGACGCCGATCATGTAGCATGGATGTGTTGTTGGATTTTCTCTATGTGATGTCTTCCCTGTTTTTCGCCTTCTATTTTGGTCTGCTTCCCATCCCGCTACCTCCCCCATCCATCTTGCATCATGACCACGACGCAGAGCTAGTGGATTTCCCTATCAGTTTGCGCGTTTGGCTCTACGGCGCCCCCGCTCGACCGTGCTCCGACGCGTATGTGAGCGTCCATCCATCAAGCGATTGTATGAACACCTCGCTGCAGGCATAACACGCGCGATCAAACGTGAAACGATGTCACAGGGCTATTGATATATGATATTGTTTTCAGTCTTCCACCGTACCGAAAGGGCGGTGACCGAGGCCGAAGGAAAGCATGTGGAAGGTGCCGGACACCCTGGACGGCAGGGTGGGCGTCATTGGCAGCGGGAAGGACACGGCCCCGTCCGCGACCCGTCGGAACGCGCCAGTGGGAGCATCCTCTACGAATGAGTGCGGCTGTTTGCGACCCCCTCCGCACCACCAGTCTCGATGATTCGAGGGGGGCGTTGGGGTGTGTCGTCGGGGTGCGGCGTGCGGGGTATTCTCTTACTCCCTCGGAGTATCCCCCACCCCTTCAGATCAAAATGGCACCGCTGCGGCAGAAATTCGTAGCACCCCGCAATTGCGGATAAGAGTGAGGGGGCGGGCGCGGGCGACGCGGGCGTCGAGCGGGCGGACCTCGTGGCCCTCACGAATGCAAAAGTAACCTGGAACGAATGCAAAAGAAGCCCGCCGCAGGCGCCGAAAATTTGGGGTGGGTCGCCGGGTGGGTCGCGGGTGGGTCGCGGGTGGGTCGCGGTGGGTCGCGGGGGGGTCGCGGGTGGGTCACGGGTGGTCGCGGGGTGGGTCGCGGGTGGGTCTCGGGGTGGGTCGTCGGAGGGTCGCGGGTGGGTCGCCGATGCAAAAGAAACTCGCCGCAGGCGTCGAATTTGTGGCTTCTTCAGTGAACGTAGTTTGGGTTGCGGGTGGGTCGCGGGCTCCCCACCTCCACCTGGAAGGAATTCAAAAACAGCCCGCCGCAGGCACCGAAAATTTTGATTTGTACACTGAACGCGGTTTGGGTCGCGGGTGGGTCGCAGGTTCTCCACCTGGAACGACCTGGAACGAATGCAAAAGAAACCCGCTGCAGGCGCCGAAAATTTTGGGTGGGTCGCGGGGTGGGTCGCGGGTGGGTCGCGGGTGGGTCGCGCGGTGGGTCGCGGGTGGGTCGCGGGTGGGTCGCGGGTGGGTCGCGGGGTGGGTCGCGGGATGGTCGCGGGTGGGTCGCTGGTGGGTCGCGGGTGGGTCGCCGGTGGGTCGCGGGTGGGTCGCCGGGGGGGTGTCGGGGTGGGTCGCGGGCGGGTCACCGGAGGGTCGCGGGTGGGTCGCTGAGGCCCCCGAAGGAGTCTTGGGGAATATTGAGGCCTCCTGACATATTTTGAAACATATGATCCTTCCAAAGGAACCTTCGGTGTCTTATGGGATCCTGAGAAATCCTTGCGAATCATAAGGGGTCCCCGAGGGATCCCGAAGAATCTTTTGGAATCGGATGAAGCTTGAAGGGCCCTGAGAGATCTTGAGGGAACCTAAGGCACTTTAAGGAATTAGGCTTTCGTTTGAACAGCAGGTTTTCCCACCTCCCACAGCCCCCCGTCTGCTCGTCCCTCGCCTGTCTTCTCCTTCCCCCTTCCGCTGCCGTCTGCTCGCGGCTCGTTGCGAGCCTTGGATTTACTTCTTGGGGCGGGCGGGCGGGGCCGCCTGCGGCGCAACCAGGCAGTCTGAGGAGTGCTGAGTAGTGGCTGGGCCAAGCCCCCCCTCCAGCGCTGGAGGGGGCTCCGGAGGAGGGCCCCGCGGCCCGCGGCGGACGCCTCGGCAGGGCGCCCGCGGCCCGAGGGAGGCAAAGGCAGCAGTGAGGTGCCAGCGATGCGGCGCGTCACCCTGGAGCGCATCATCTCCACTGCGCTGGCGGCCGCGCTCGGGTGGCTAGGTGACTCCCCGGGCGTAGGGCGTAAGGCTGTCGGCTGCCATCTCAGCCTCCGCCAGCTATGTGCCAGCGCCGAGCGAGGGCCGCGCGCGGGACGAGCCAGACGCCGCTAGCGACGCCGGCGCGGAGGAGGCGCGCGGGAGTCGCGCCGACTTCGAAGCGCTTTTGCCGCGGCGCGAGCTGCGCAGAGAAGGCCGCGGAAGGCCAGCCAGCCGACCCCGCGCTGCCCGCAGATGCGGGGCAGTCGGAGGAGGCGGCGGCGCCGCGGCTTGAGGCGCCCCCGACCGCGAGCCCGCCGCCAGCCGTGGCCGGTTCGGGCGGGCGCGCCACCAGCCACGAGAAGCACTATTACGTCGCGCAACGCTGCGAAGACGGGGCGGCGCCGAGCCCGCCCCCGGCAGAGCAGCCCGCGGCGCCAGCTGCGCCCGGATCGCTGCGCGAGGAGGGGGCGATGCCGAGAGAGCCAGAACGGCCGCGGGCGGGCGAGCAGCAGCCGCCCGGCCGTGGCTGCGCCTCGATTGACGGGCAACGCCGCCCGCGCACAGCGCGCGCCGGCGCCGCGGCCGGCGCCGGGGAAGCCGCCGGCTGGAGGAGGCGAGGGCGCGGCCGCTAAGGATGCGCCTCCACCTCCAGGCCGCCCCGCCGACGCCGTGCCAAGGATGGTCAACGCCGAGCCGGGCGGGCTTGCATTCGTCGGCGCATGGTTCGAGGCGGCGCTCATGTGGCTGGGCGAGAAGGTCGGGCGCGCGCTGGGTGCCGTGCTCCACCGGGCGCTCGCATTCCTAATTTGGTGAGCGCTATGGGTCACTGCATATGTGGCCGCTACTGGGCGCGGCTCCACTGGCTCGCCCTGAGCGTGGCTGCTGCGGGAGTGATCGCCCTCCTCGGCTCCATGATCAGCCTCGTCTCTTGGGCCCGGCGCACGGCCTGGGCGTGCGCGGCTCCGTCGAAGGCCGCGAGGCGGGCCACGACGTGCAGGTCGCCTTGGACGGTGAGCCAAGCGCTGTCCTGAGCTGGCGCGGCCCAGAGGAGGTCGAAGCCGTTTACGCAGACTGCGTCGAGGATGCGGCGAGGGCGAGAAGAGGCAGCTCGGAGAACATGACGCCCGACGACCTCATCATCAAGTCGGGCGGGGCGGTCGCGAGGCTGGAGCAGGGGCTCATCAATTGCGGCCGCGTCGCCCGCAATGGGCACGTCCACCGCTTCGCGGAGGTCAAGGGCAGCTCGCGCTGGCACCTGGAGGCCGACCTGGAGGCTGCGCGAGATGGCGACGGGATTAGCCTGGTGCAATTGTGCTTTGCGACGCCGTGCGCATTGCCTCCAGAAGACAGGCCCATGGCCCATGTGGGCGCGTCGTGCGTCGTCGGCCACACCTCCGCGATCGACGCGTCGGACTTGGCCAAGCTCGCGCCCGCTGGGCGAGCCAGGACGGGGGGCCAATCATGCTGCTCTTGGATGTCGGGGAATGTCGGGGCTCGCTAGGAGAGCATGCGGGCGCTGTGCATCTCGGAGATGGAGGCGCCCGCGCCCGGGCGACGGCTCGGCCGAGGCTGTAGCGATGGGCCCCAACTCGGAGACGGAGTCTGAGCCGAGCGTGGACGCGTGCGAGGCAGACAGGGCCGCATTCCGGACGACCGGGCGCGCGCAGGTGCTGCGCGCCAAGGGTTGTCGGGGCTCGGCGAGGAGGGGGCCCGCGCTGGTGCCGGTTGACGACGCCGCCATCTCCGACGCGCGCGAGTCTCCGGAGGTGAATGGCGCTCGCTCGCTCAGGGCCTGCCCGTTCCACGCAGTCTTAAAATGCTCAAAAGGCCCAAGCAGCTCGGAGGAAGTGCGCCTGTTCCAACTGCTTCCGCGAGGAGACCTCCGAGAAGGACGGCTTCCCTCTCTGCGTTGCGCACGCTGCGCGGGGCCCCTTGGTCGATTCGGCCGCGGTTGGCGAGCTTGCTGCGGCCCCCCATCCAAGTTAGCGGGCCTTTCCCGAGGCACGGGCGACGACGGCCCCAGGGCGGGCGTGGAGGCGGTCGGGCTAACCTCGCACCCGTCGAAAACCAGCGACGGCGCGAACTACGAGGGCAACGGTCTCAGCTGCGCGACTGCGGCCGCGATCGTACGCGACGGGGGCCGACGCCGCCTGGCGAGGCGAGCGAGAACCAGAAGCAGGGGCGCCGCGCCGACCAGGGAGAGCGCAAAAGGCGACCTCGACGAGGCTAAGGCGAGCCAGAGCGACGGATGAGGCGCAGCGCCGAGCAGACCCGAGGGCCGTGCTCATCGAGGGGTACTTGCTTAGGACGGCCGAGGGCCAGTCTAATGAGAACGCGAGGTGGCCATGGCGGCCGGCGCAGGCGCGGGCCCCCTCGAGTTCTCGGCGGAGCTCATTGAGGCCGCGGACGCACCGCTCGAGGGAATGGTCAGCGATATCGGGCTGAGCCTTCTCCAAGGGCGCCAGGCAGCCCGGCGCAATGAGCTCGAGCGACGAGGAGGGCCGCGCTCAGGAGGCGTTCTGGAGCATCGTGAGGCAGCGCCGGTTCCCCTTCTGCCTGCAGCAGCCCCCCCGCCGGCAGCGGCGCCTCCGCCCCCGGCGTCGCCCGCGGGGCGGGGCTTCGTCGGGTTCAGCCAAAGGCCCGCCGCTGGACCATCGCCGCCTCGCAGAGACCTTTCCTTTTCCCCGGGGCGAGTAGCGCGGGGGCGTCGGCGCCTTGGGGGCGCGAGGGCACGAGATCATTCGTCGAAGCTGCTACGAGGCTTCGGGAGTGGCCCGCAGGGGCGTCGCCCATGCCCATGGGGGAGAGGACGTTCGCGGGGCCGCAGCCCGCCGCCGAGATCGGCGTGGGCCTGGGAAAGTTGGCGCGCGAGCTGGGGGGGGCCAACGGGCGCTGAGAGGAGTCAGGAGGCACGGCCACGGGCACGCTGGCGAGCATCGGGCGGGCTGAGGAGCAGCTCGTCTACCCGGCGCGCGGCTGCGACAGTTTCCGCGCGACGCCCTGCCCGGGTCTGCTGGGTAAAGACGCGCTTCATGGGCTGAGGTCGGCGGGGCAGAACGCGCGCCCGCTCTTCCGGCCCATCGAGTTCCTGGTGAACATCACCAATGCTATTGCGCACGGGCTCGCGGCCTTCCACCACGGGGGACGCTGCCGCCCTGACTATCACCTGCGCCAGCATCCTAAGACGTCGGAGGCGGACATGGGCAATTTCGCACCGCCCGAGGACTACAAGCTGGAGACTAAGCCGAGGCGCGCCACGACGGCGCAGCAGTGGATCCAGGACGCTAAAAGGGAGTCGTGGGCTTGGGCGCGCTTCTATGGCCAGGAACATTACAAGTCACAGGTGGACGCCGCTGAAGCCCTCCTGAAGCTCAATGACGAGGCTACGCGTGGCCGCCCCAAGTGATCTTCAGCGTCTGGTGCGAGGTCGGGGGCAGGTGGCGCGAGGAGCTCAGGATGCTGCGTTCGCGTCTGCTCGAGCTGTTGGCGGACAACAACCCGAGCTGGGATGGGATCAGGTTCGCGTGCCAGGCGCCGAGGGGCCCGGGGGGGCCCTCGGCGGGGCTCAGGATGCCTCGCGCCTTTTCCTTGGATGACCCCACCCAGTTCTTCATGACGGACATGAAGGTCAGGCGCCGCCACAAGCGCCACAATCTGCAGAGGTCGCAGTGGCAGATGGCGCCGCGCTCGCCCGCTGCGCAGCCGCGCCCGCGGCTGGCGGGTTCGGGGCGCCCGAAAGCAGGGGCGGGAGGTGGCGGAGGTGGCCGGGGAGGTGGAGGCGGAGGAGGGGCCCGGGAGGGAGGCGGCCAAGGCGGCGCTGGGCATTGGGGCAAAGCCCTCACGCGCAATGAGCATGGCCGCAGCCTTGACCGCCGCCCCAAGGCGCCCACCAGCGGCCGCACTATCTGCTGGGATAATTCGAGCTGGAAAGGCTGCCGCCTCTCTACCTGCCCCCACTCGCTCATTGGCAAGGTCGGCCTCCTGGACAAGTAGGCGCAGATGCAGCTCATCAGGCGAGGCGGCATCAAGGGCGGCCCGAAGGTCGGCTCGCATGAGGAGTCAGTGCGCGCGTTGGTGGACGAGAGCATGGCGGTGATGAGCAAGGCTACGCGCGGCGCTGTGGTGGCTTCGTCGGCGGCGTGCCTCGCGAAACTGGAAGGGATCATATCGCATATTGCATCACCCATGCCGCCAGCTTCGCCGTCACCCATGAGTGGGATTGCCTCACCGCTGCCACCTTCCTCGCCTGCTCCTGGCAGTGTCGATTCGTCCGAGGCCACAGTTCGCCAGGTTGCGTCTTGTACCCGTCAGCCTGTTGTGTGTGCGTGTGTGTGTGTGTGCGTGGGCCCTTCACGAATTTGTGGGCGGACCCTCTTCCTTGGCAGCCCGCCCTCGTTTTCCCGTGCGAGATCTCGACGATGAGGTTGATGGGCCTTCTGATGAAGAGTGCGAGGAGTGTGGAGGAGTGAAGAATATGCAACCGAGTCTTTTCACCTGCCAGCGCAACGGGCCCGAGCCGAACTGGACCCAATCGTGCTCTGGATCTTGGACGCTCTGTTAGTCGGCTCCTCGGTGGCCTTCTTGAGGGACTCGCTCGTGGCTGCCTTAGTGGACTTCTTGTCTTCCCCCTACCTTGTGCTGGTCTGGGTCCTCCTGGTCCTCTGCTACCTGCGGCGCCTCCCTGTATGCTTCGCTATTCGGGTGGTTTTCGCCATCCGCGGTTCCGGTTCACTCTCACTCCGTGGGTGACGGGTTCGAGCAGATTACCAGGACAT